GCTGCCCCCTCTGCCTGCTTTTAAAGGCAGGCCCAGGGGCAGCAAGGGTGGAAGGGAGTAGGGCTGCCCAGATGGAGCCGAGTTAGGATGTGGGTGAGAACGTCTTGGGGAAGAGGGACTAAAATAAAGGCTTTAATCTGTGCTTGAATGCATGCTGCGATGCCAGGGCTGAGCTCTGCCAAAGCTGTCCAAAGGGCAACTGTAGGATGTGTAGCAAGCAGGGTGCAGACAGAATTTCATGCCTTACCCCCGTCCATCTGATAGTCCCCATTTCCTCCTGGTCTAGATCACATCTCCATGCCCTGCCTGAGGTCCCTGTGGTCCGCGCTTGGGGGGCACATGGCAAAGCAAACCCAGCTCTGTGTGCCTCTTCAGCCGGCTCGGCCCGCCTCCTCCTGCAGCTAGCACCCTGCCACTTGCTGTGACTGATAAGGGGAACCTGGTGCTTTTATTAAACTGTTTGCTTCCTGTTTTAAGCTTAATAATAAATTGCATGTCACATTATGGCTGTGTTTATTAAAACCCATTGGCGTGGGCTCTGCTCTGCAACGGCATTTGAATTATTGAAAGCAACCCCCCACGGAGACCTATTTGCTGCAAATGCAGGAGGATTTATTTCCATTTTGTTTATCAGATGGCATAAGTGCTGGGTGGAGGAAGGGAAGCAGTCTTGCTCTTTTTATTTTCTCCCTGAGCCAGCACAGCAGGGTGAAGATGTGCTGTGCAAAGGGTACAAGGAAAACATCCCCCCTGCCTTGGGATGAGGTCAGGTTGGGGACAAAGTCCTGGGTGTAGCTGGCTGCTCTGCCCTGCTTGTCTCTGGCTCTGCTTGAGTTCCCCATGCTGGGTTTGTTCTGCGCCAGTTTACCCATTAGCAGAGTGAGGTTGCAGACCTGCAAGTTTCCATCCAGGCATGACCAGCATTCAGCTCAGGTTGGCCCAGACCCCTGTTAGAAGCCATCAAACTCCCATGGGAGATACCCACAGCACCGGCAGGGTGACCATGAGGGGTTCTGACCCTTTTGCAGCCCCGGTTTAAAGCACACCCCCAAGGACAGCAGCTGAACATCTCCAAGCTCTGCCCCAGCCCAGCTGCACCTGCCACAGCCACCCAAAGCTGGTGTTGAGAGTTTGCTCTGGCTCCTGTGACAGTTTAGCATCCCTGGCCTTTGCGATGGCATCGCCCTTCCCCCAAGGCAGAATTCTATCCCAGAGAAGGGCACAAAGCAGGCAGGGCTGGATGGGGGCGGGGGTCGGGATGCTTCAGGAGTGCCCAAGGCCCCACGTACTCAGCACGGTGGCAGGGCTCGGGGTGGCCGGTGGCTTTGCCAGGAGATGGCACTGTTTAGCGGCTAATCACGCCGGTGACCCAAATCTGGACGCGGGGGTGGACGCGCAGATGCGGCCCGAGGGCAGGGAAGAGCAAGGGACATCGTGTTTTCACTGCTGGGTCGTATTTACCTGCCAGACCTGGTGGGGTTTCCCTGCAGACCGTAAAACCCTATGGCTTGGCGGCTGCTCGGGGTGCCGGCTGCTCTGGGCAGTGCTGGAGAGCGCAAGGATGAGAGAGGGAAGCACCGGGGTTGTCAGGTAGGCTGCTCGGGGAGCAGGGCACCCTCCTGCATCTCTGGGTCGGCCGCTGACCATCTCGGTGGTCTCCTGGCTCACGGTGGTCCCTGGAGTGGTCTGAGGACCTTGATGGTGCACGCACACTGAAGGGCAGTGGAAGTGCTGAGATCCCACGAGCAGGTTTGGGGCACAAAGCAGCTGGTTTGGGCAGGGGGGCTGTGTTACCTGAATTCCTCCTTTAGCACCCAGAGTTGTGAGTACACAATGGGGGTGGCCAAAGCTCTTGCTGGTGGCAGGGCAGTGCCAGCCCTGTGCGTGTGCCCCTGGGGAGTGGGGTCTGGTGTGGTTTTAAAATGGGTTTTGGCTTCATTACCATGTCTTCAGGGGTTTTTGGGTGCTAGCAGGACAATCCCCACTTTCTTTGTCCCCAGCCCCATGGTGACTGGGGAGGTACCTGCACCCTGCTCACTCCAGGCAGCCAGGAGGTGCTGAGGCTGGTGTGTGCCCATGGCTGATGGTCAAGTTGATGCTCCACAGTCCAGCTGACCCCATCCCTGATGTCAGCCCAACATCTGGGCTAAGGGACTGTTCTGAGCACAGGCAGCTGGGCTGGCAGGATCTGCTTGGCCCCTGCCACCAGCAGAAAGCAACCACCCCAAAAACTGTCTGGCAAAGGGATTTGGTGCTGCATGCCATCAGAGCACACTCTGTCTTAGGACCCTCCATATGCCTGGAGCTGAGAAGAGCATCCACAGACCCTGGGGGGATGCCTTCCTCAGGGCAAGGGCTGTGGGAAGCATCAGAGCAGCTGGCAGCAGAGCTGACCAAACATTTTTAGAGCCAACGAATAACCTCAATTAAGCTTTGTGGCAGTGACCGATTCCAGCTGTGCAGCAATATTGGCTCCTTTAATTTTTAAGTGGCTGGAAATGGCAAGACTGGGAGCTGGGGCGGGGGGACACCAGCCCCCACCGTGCTCCTGGGGCCATTCTGCTGCTCCTTGTTTTAGGGGGAGTAAAGCCCCAATACTGGCCGAGCTGCAAGCCTGCAACTCAGACAGCCCTCTCATGCACCAGGATCTGAGGAAACTGGGTGACATAACCTCCAGTTTGATTAATTTTAGCCAAAGGCTCTTGCTTAAGCTCCCCACTCTCTCAACCACCATGTCCCCACTGCCCTCCCTACAGGGCAGGAGCGGGAGCCAACAGCGTCCCTTGCCAAGTACCTGTGGGTACCACAGGGACCATGTGTGGAGCTTAAGGTGGGGCAAGGACTGAGACCAAAATGCAGATGCCCACACGTACCCAGGTAGGGCATTGCCCTGCAAAGCACACGGAGAGCCAGGGTTGGAGGTCCAACACCCCCCAGCCAGCCCAGCACTGCACCCACATCCTTCATGACCTGGCTTCATGCCGATGTAGGCAGGGTGAGCCTGGCTCTGGGGAGGGTTGGCATGGCAGCCTTGGCCCGGGGCCAGCCCTGGGCACCGGCAGGGAGCCCAGCGAGGAGCTCTCGCCTGATGAAGCTCCCGGAGACTCTCAGATTTCCCCACTGCAGCCTCAGCATGGCCCAGTTCCACCAGCCCGTTTGTGTAAGAAACAGGGAGGGGAATCAGGATGGGTGAAAATGCCCTGGCTCCTTCTAAAGCAGGTTTTGCACCCAAAGAAAGCACATTAAAAGCCAACAGCACGTTTCTGTCCCTGGTCCCTCCTGGACACACTCTGATGTAGCATCCCCAGGAGGATGCAATTATGCTATTAGATGGAAAAAGAAACTGAGGCACTGGTGGCTTTTGTATTTCCCCAGACAAGAAGGGGTTTGCTCCCAGAGAGGACAGGCAGGCAGGGCAGCAGTGCTGCCGGCTGTGCCCCGTCAAGCTGCAGCACAGGGGCCTCGGCTGGCCCAGCCTCACTGACTGCAGGAATTCCACTCTGCTGCCAACTCCAGACAAATCCCTTTTATTTGCTTGTTCAGGTTTTGATGCTGTAATTGCATCGTCTCAGCCAGCTCTCAAGAGAAAGAGGAAGAAAAGAACAGAAAAAACAAGGGAAGGAGAACAGCCCGGCACCCGAGCTGCCAGCCTCATTGCATCCTGCCTGCTCCTGGCCAGCTCCTTCCTCCCAGGGTCTGGCTCCCTGCTGCTGCTCTGGACCCCCCTGGAGCTGGGACCGAGTAACCAGGAGTGGTTTGGTCTACAGGGAAGTTTTGAGTCCCAAAAGTCCTCTAAATACTGCTGGTCTGGAGGGGCAAAGCACCTCTTCAGTGTGAGCCCAGCCCCAGGATGCCCATGGGAAGGGGTCCTGCCTGCCCTCTCCAGCATGGAGCATCTCTGGGCTTCCTTCCCATGCTGCCCTCTATGCTGTGGTCACCTGGGTGGAGGTCTGTTGTCATGGGACACAGGACTCCAAAATGGAGGTGGGCAGAGGTGGGATGGGATCCAAACTGATGGAGCGCAATGAGTCAGCTTGATTAATCCTCATGGCACAGGGGATGGACTGCTGGCAACCCCCATCCCTGTGTGGGGTGAGAGGGGTAGGACCTACACTGGGACCAGCTGTGAGCACCAGGATGGGCAGGAGGACTCCTCAACCCATGCACCCCCACAATGGACAAGGTAGCATCCACAGTGTTTGCACCATGCCTTATCTCCAGAATAATCCTTATGGATGCAGGGGACAGTTGACTGTCCTGTGTTGGCTTTGACTTACATGTATATTTAACTAACATTAACTGAAATGGTAAAATAGAGAGCTGTGTGGAAGGGAAAGCACAAAGTGAGTTGAAAAAGACCAATGTGTTTCTGACCACACGGGCAGCTGGGCTGGAGAAAAGACAGCACTGAAAACCACAAGTGTCTGGTTTCCTCAAATCACTATTTTTCTGGATAAAAACAAAACGAAAGAGAATGATGTTTTGGCAGCAGGTTCCCTGGGTCCCGGAGAGAAGCCTGGATGTCCCTGTGCTTAGGGGGCATGGATCAGCCCTGGGGGTGATGTACTGGGTGTCCCAGCCAGGTCTCATCCCTCCCCGCTCTTGCTTCCCCAAAATGCTTCACACAGGGCAAAGATGTCCTTGCCCTGGCTTCCCTCTCCCATGGGGGCTGCCTCCAGCCCCAGCACCAAGTCCTCGTCACACAGAGTGTGGCTGTCCCCACAGCATCCCACCTGCCACCCTGTCCCCACTTATTGCTGGAGGACAGACTGACCCCTGGTACCAGCCCTGTGCCACCAACCAGCCAGTGTCCCCTCTCTGAGCACCCCAACAAAGGGATGTGTTACCCTGTCCCCCACCCCAAAAAAAGAGGCTGCTGTGCCAGGACTGTTCAGAGAAGGAGTTTTGGGCTGAGGTGTGCTTGCTCTGGAGATGTCCCCACCCCTGGGAAAGGCCACTGTGGGTAAGGTGATCTCTGCAGCTGGACATCCACCTCTGGGCTAGTAGTAGTCCTCCTCGCTCTCTCCATAGTCCTCAGGTGTTGTGTGGGACTTCGGCAGGGAAAAGCCTGTCAGGTTGAGCTGGTCTGAAACAGCAACGTAGGGACAATGTGACGTTGACCTGTGCAGTGCCTATCGCCATCCTCACCAGAACCAAACCCGAACCATGCACAGCAGCCTGCATGCAGAGCCCTGTGCTCCAGCAGCTCCCACCACACCAGTGCACCCTGCCCAAACATCCCCTCCCTCATCCCCGTGAGAGTAGGGGGACAGGGATGTGGTGCTCACCCGGTGTGAGGACAGTCAGGCTGGCTAATGCCATCGCCTCCCCAATCCTGTTCCTGGCGAAGCAGCGGTAGGTGCCTTCATCTGTCTCCCGCACACCCTGGATCTGGAGCCAGCCTGTCACTTCGTATTTCTGGGGGCCGCCTCTGAACTGCAAAAGTGGGTATTTTGTTTAGTGCTGTGTCCAGGAAAACCCCACATGAGGCTGCAATGGATGGGAAGGGGGACACAAACCCAAGGAAACTCCTTGCACCACCCCCAAAGTACCACTCCAGTGGCAGGCACAGATTCCAGGGATGCAGGTCCTCCCTTTTCTCGTTAGCTAGGACAGGTGGGGGGAATGGGTATCTTCTTGCCCTCAGAAAGGCCTAGGAGCCCTGCACTGGGCAGGACTCTGCAGCCATGACTGGACACCAGTGCCACCGTGGTCCCAGCACAGCAGGAGGATGCTGGTATTGGTGCTCTGCAGGGTGGCAGAAGTGAGGGGGTATCTGCGCTGTAGGCAAAGCTAGTTGGAGACGGCTCAGAGGAGCCCCAGGTCCCCTGTTCTGGGAGGCAGTGTGGTCCCAGGATTGCTCTGGCACCAACCATGCTATTTTCCATGTCCCCAGCAAGAAATAACTTTTTTCTGACCCAGCTGCTGCGTTTTCAGGCTGCTATTATGGTGCAGTGGCCGGGGTGGAGGACAGCTGAGTCTCCTCCAGCCATGCAGGGTAGTCCTGCTTGGTGTGAAGGTCTTTGGCCAGACCCTGTAACAGCATGAAGGGCAGAAAGGTGGAAGGGGACCAGCACATCACCAGCAACAGTGTCAGGTCCCACCTGCTCCCCTGGCTGGCCACATCCATCCCACCACAGTTTCCTCCCCAGTGATGTCTGGCTTCCATGCACGGCCCCTGTGCCTCTGCCCACACCCTCTAATAGCTGGGTACGCTGGCTGGGCACTATATTTGGATGCTGACCTCTGGTGAGTGAAGCCAGCAGGCAGAGCAAACTGAAGGCAGGGAGGTGGGAAACTCCCTGCTGCAGGACTTGCAGGTTCTAAAAGCTATTCATAAGTTCAAAAACTACTAGAGAAAATTGCAGACCAGAGCTATGCTGATGGCTCCTACCACTGAGACACCAGCAGTCCGTGCTCATGCTGTGAAGGCTCCAGTCAGCCCTTCTCATGCCCAGGCAGCCAGGCTTGGCCACCCCAGAGGATGACCACCCTCAGGTCTGGTTGCCCACAAGCTCTGGGAAGGGCTGGGTCACCCGGGGGACATGTCTGACACCCTAGGCACACCACTCACCTGGACAGAGATGTGGGGGTCATCTCCAGGCAGCAGCATCTCTGTGCCATCCTTCCTCCACTCAATGGATGCCATGGGGTAGGCAAAGACCTCACAGCCGAAGATGACATCCTGTCCAGTGATGTTCCACGTGTCATAGGGAGGAGAAGTGATCTGAGGTTCTGTGAAGCAGGGACAGGACAGCAGGGCAGGCTCAGAAGAGGTCCCACAATCAGCAAGTCCCATGGGCTCTCCTGGGTTGGTCCCCTTGGAGGTGGTAGCGTTTGGTTCATGCAGAGATGCTGGGACCTTTCCCAAGCCCCTCTCCTCTCTCACCCATGGCAGACCCTCACCTTGGGGCTTGGACACTGTCCCTTCTTGCAGCCAGGACTAGGGGCTCCCTCCCCAACCCCCTCAGTCCATAGGGGGTTGCCATCCCTCCTGGCCTCACTTTCCCTGCCTGTGCAGTGATGCTCAGAGCTACACAGCAACACTACAAAACAAAGCTCTCCTGCACATTCAGAGCATGCTTCTCCTGGGCAGAAAAGGCAGAAGAACACTCATGCAGCCCAAGGCTGGTGAAGATGGATGAGGTGGATGACCTTCCAGCCAAACAAAATCTCTGTTCTGGCACAGGACTTCTGCCAGTGATCAAGGGAACCAGCAGGTCCCCAGCTACTGTATGGAGCCAATACCTCCAGGTCCCACATCCCTCCCCTGGAGGGATGGAATGAGGACTACCCTTGCTACCCACACCTCTCCAGAATCTGGCCCATAGACTGAACTGGAGGTCAAGAGAAGGCCTTCACCTCCAAATACACCCGGGGTAAAAACTCAAGGACGTGATGATCTACAGAAAATAAAGTCAACCTTAATATCCCTCAGGCTGTGGTGGCAGCCTTGGATGACCTGTGCTGGACT